ATGTACCATGATTTGTTTATCCTTTCCTTGGTTGATGGGCAATTAGGTTGTTTCCATTTCTTTGCTATTGTGAATAGTCTGAGATGAACATGAGTATGCACATATCTATTTGTATCCTACTTCTCACTTCTGTTAGCACAGTTCCTAATGTACTTGACTGTTAACCAGAAGGCTGGCTGTTCAAGCCCACCAGCCACTCCTTGGAAGAAAGATTGGGCAATCTACTTCTGTAGTGATATCACCTTGGAAACCCAAGGAGGGGTCACTATGAGTCAGGTCCTACTCGAGAACACGTAACAACAACAACATCTCACTTCTTTAGGCTACATACCTAGTAACAGGATTGCTGGATCAATGGTATTTCTATTTCCAACTTTTTAAGGAATTGCCATATTGATTTCCACAGTAGGTATATCATTTTACAGTCCCGCCAACTGTGTATCAGAGTCCCAATCTCTCCACATCCTCACCAGCATTTGTTATTTTCTGTGTTGTTGAATTTTGCTATTAATGGTGGGGTGAGATTGTATCTCATTATCGTTTTGACTTGCCTCTCTCAAATGACTAATGATTGTAAACATTTCTTCATATGTTTGTTCACTGCCTGAATATCTTCTTCCATGTAGTGTTGGTTCCTGTCTTCTGCCCATTTTTAGATTGAATTGTTTGTCTTTTGATGTAGAGGTGTTGGAGTTTTATATAAATTTTAGAGATAAGTCATTTGTCCAATATGTCATCACTAAATATTTTTTCCCATTCTGTAGTTTTTCTTTTTACTCCTTTGGAAAAGTCTTTCGATACACATAAAAATTTAATTTTTAGAAGGTCCCTATCATCTAGTTTATCTTCTGCAGTTTGTATATCTTGATTTATGTTTGATAGTCCATACAATCCATAAATTAGGGCCCTTAAGTTTGTCCTTATTTTTCATTTGATGAACTTTATGGTTTTAGATTTCACATTTAGGTCTTTGATTCATTTGGAGCTTGTTTTTCGTGTATGGTGTGAGGTATGGATCTCATTTCATTTTTCTGCAAATGGATATTCAATTTTACCAGGACCATTTGTTAAAGAGACTGTCTCTCCCCCATTGAATGGATTTCAGCCCTTTGTTAAAGATTAGCTCACCATAAATTGATCTATTTTTGGGTTCTTAATTCAGTTCCTTTTGTCTACGTGTCTATCATTGTACCAGTACCAGGCTGTTTCGACAACTGTGGCTCTATAGTAGATTTTGATATCTGAGAGTGTGAGACCTTCTATTTTGTTGTTATTTGGTAGTGCTTTGCTTATCTGAGGTCTCTTTCTTTTCCATATAAAATTAGTGATTGTTTTTTTCATGTCCTTTAAGAATGTTGATGAAATGTGTATCAGAATTGTATTGAATATATAGATGGCTTTGGGTTGTGTGACCCAAATGTTCAATGTTCAGTCTTCTTATACATAAGCATGATATGTTCTTCCATTTATGTAGATCTCTTATGGTTTACTTCAAGTAGTGTTTTGTAGTTTTCTTTATTTTTGTGTATCTTATCATTTTGGTACCTATATGGTATTTATTTCCTTATTTCTTTTTCAGAGACCTTTTTGCTGGTGTAGAGGAATTCAACTGATTTTTGTTTGTTATTCTTGTGTCATACTACTACACTAAATATTTCAATAAGTTCCTGTAGTTTTCTTACTGAGTCTCTTGGGTTTTCTATATATAGAATCATATCATCTGCAAATAGGGATAGTTTTACTGCTTCCTTACCAATTCGGATGCCTTTAATTTCCTTTGACTTATTGCCCTGGCTAAGACTTCCAATGTTGTTGGTGTTGTTATGTGCCATCAAGTCGGACCTGACTCATAGGGACCCATCTTTGGGTTTCTGAGACAGTATCACTGCGGAAGTAGATTGTCCAACCTTCCTTCCAAGGAGTAGCGGTGGGTTTGAACTGCTAACCTTCTGATTAGTAGTCAAGTACCTTGGGCACTATGCTACCAGAGATCCTTGGACTTCCAATAGAATGTTGAGTAGAAGTGGAGATAGAGAGCATTCTTGTCTGGTTCCTGTTTGTAAGGTGAATGGTTTCAGTCCCTCTACATTGAGAATAATGTTGCCTGTTGGTTTTTTATATGTAACCTTTATTATGTTGAGGAATTTCCCTTCTATTCCTATTTTTCTTTAAACTTTTTGCAGGAATGGATGTTGGATTTTATCAAATGCCTTTT